AATCGCACAACTTAGAGAAATTCACAATGCACTCAGGCAGCATTTCTCTGACCGTTTCTGCTCCCAAAAGTCTCATGACTAAAGCAGCTAGAGAGCCATCAATGGAAGGAGGCGAAAACAGATTCGATTATCCCACCGGCACATAAAGTGACATAAAGGGTGAGAAACTGCATTGAGAGGGAATAAAAGGAAAAAAATACAGGGGGGGTGGGAACACGAGGCTGAGCCAAGCTAGTGATTTCAGACTAGAAGGCATTATGGAGACCGAGGAAGCTCCACCCTAGCATTTTGCTGTTGGTCAGGTGCCATAAACGGAAGCAGAAAGGCACCCCAGCCTTTAAGTAGCATAATCAGGCTACACCAGCCTCGCTGTGGGGGTTTGCTGAGGACTAAAGGTGCTCAGCAACCCTGTTTGGCTTGGTTGGGCTTCAGTCAGAGTCCCCGTGTAGCTCAAGGGAAAGACTGTGAGGGTTTTTTTGTGCATAAATATGTGCGACGCCTTGTTCACATTAAACAGAATTTGAAACTTCGAGTGCTTCAAGAAAAAAGAAAAAAAGATCACTGAGTAAATCTTACTTGACCAGACTGCTGTTTCATGGAGGATCATCAGAGGACATCTCTATCAAAACTACAGTACTGAACCCGTCTCTGTTTTCTTGTTTGTTAGAAAGGTGATCGTAGCTGTGATCGGATTTCTGTCAATTGTAATGTGAACAAGGCGCTTAGTATTTTCCTATTATTACAAGTCATCCTGCTCTCCTGCCTGCGTGAGTATTAAGGCCCGCAGATGTGTGCGTGTTTGCATTGCAGGCTTCCCCGTCCCCACCCCGAATCCCAAACCCCAGTCTGGTTTCAGCATCTCCTTCTAGGATAGCTCGTGCTCCCTCTGTGGCTGAGGCTGCTGCGGACTCTTGACGATGGTGATGACCGAGGCGGTGTTGAGACGAGGGGCCGTCGCCAGCAGGCTGCCTCCTCCCGCTTCCAGACCCCTGGCGAATCTCTGAAGCGCAGCCAGGCGTGCGCTGAGCCCCTCCAGCTCCTTCCTCATGCCGGCGTTCTCGGCTCCGAGCCTCTCCACCTCTCTCTGCAGCTCCATCTTCTGCTGCTCCAGGGCCTCTCGCTGAGACACCCGCTTGACCCGGCAGCTGGCGGCATATCCCCTGTTCTTTAAGGTGCGACGCCGCTGCTTCAGCTTCTGAATATCGTCGCGGGAGAGGCCACGCAGGTGGAGATTCAGCTCTCGCACCGACAGGGACATTAGTTCGCTGTCCGACAGGAAGGGCACGTTCTCGCCGCATTCCTGCTTCACCTGAAGTAAAAACAGGAGGAAACAGGAAGAGAGGAAGCATTTAAAGAAGGAAGAATGAGAAAGAAAAACATACTTTCTTTTCTTCTTCCTTTTTTCAAAATGACAGTTTTCTCTCTTGAAAAACAAAACAACCGCCCCCTCCCCATGACTCGGTTTTAAGTCTGGCGGTGTTTTACCTTCAGAGCTTTGCTGTTTCTTTCTGTCGTCATGGTCCAGTTGTCTTTGTTTTTTTCCCCTCCCCAAGCACCAGTAAAACCAGATACACACAATCTGAAGAAACAAACACAAACAACATCACATGAAATGTGGGACACTGTGCATTTTTGGTTCATAGCCTGCCTGACATTCACCATCCGCTCACAAGACATGCAGTCATGCACTACTGAAGAAAAAGGAGAACCTGCAGATCTTTCGTGCTTCTCCAAAGCACGCCGTCTCATTATAATTTGTGGTTTCATGTGAAAGACAGGGGAGGTTTTGAAAGTGACATGCCTTTCTCTGTTAGCTGGAATTATCAGGAGGAAGTTATCATGTGGCTGCCCTTTGGTTGCTCAAAGCAGGTGTCCTAACCAATTCCCTGAGCACTTCCTCTTGTCAGCACAACACCAACGGTTCGAGCCCTTGGTTTTACAAAAAACCAAAAACTTGAATACGTGGTTTTTAAAAGGGACTCATTTTAAACAGTTAAACTTGAAAAATTACAATACTTGATTTAAAAATAAATATGTCTTAAAGAGTCTACCTAAGAAGCACAGGTTTCACACAGACTCTTATCAGGACTGCTACACGCCTCTCAAATGCCACAGCGTGGGATTAAAGTCTAACCTAAATGGGCCAACTTCAACTTCTTCCCCCACCTTAGTCACTCCTCGGTTGCTTATTTAAAAAACAAAACAAAACAAAAAAACCCTCACTCAGCACTTCAGCTGGAGACATCTTTTTTTTTGTCTTTCCTTCACCCAGATCCTAATGTGAAAGTAAAGGATACAAATGGCCAAGTGGTCTGTTGACATGAAGGTACTCTGGGCCAGCTATACTGCTAAAACTTTTTGTATGATAATGTTTAATGAAGACCACCAAATTTCACTCTGACATCATGCAAACCATGGGGATTTTCCCCATCTTACTTCTGCAAATTCACTCTGTTAACTTTCTCATTTATTGCAACACTGGATTTTCTCCTTATGGCGAATGTTCTTTCCCTGTGCTGCTCTCACGCTGTAGTCCAGAAGGGTTGAGAAAAAACAAAGTAAACACAGAAAGCTGCATGTCATGACAGAGCGCTCACCGCTTACTTTAAGGTTGACCTTTTAGCAGCGTCTCTGATGAGCTAAGAGATGAGTGCAGTCATCTCTTTCTTTATTTTTCTTCCTGAGACCCAGACTGATCCCTAACAACCTTTTTTCTCTTGAAAATCGCAAATCACAAAAAAGCAGTGTGTTCATTTTAATTATTTAAAAGACATTCACAACTTTATTTAAATTGTGTCACAACAATTTTAGAAACCCCAGTTATATTGTAACTTTTCCTCTATAAATTAGGCATAAAAGATACAGACCTGGTGCCTTAATGACTATAAAAAGAAGACTGCTGATGTGCTTAGACTTTACAGGAGACGACTTACATTTCCAACAAGTGAACCACAAACAAAACATAACCAAAAAGGGTCATTCGAGTTAAAATGTCACGTTTGATCTCTTTCACTCTGGGGGGAATCCCATTTTCTATGAATGCGTAGTTATAATAAATAAAACAATAACTTGCTGCATGGGCCTCCAACTCAGGCACACTGGATGGTAAAACTAAATAAGCTAAATAAAAAAGGCTGTTATGGCCGGACAATAAACAGCATTTCCCGAAATGCGTAGGAAGTAGAGGTTGCAGCAACAGCGGTTGTCCAACCAGCCGTCGGACTCCGGCTGTAAACCGAGGAGACCGCCGTTTCGTAAAGTCAGGGTGATTCAGCAATAAAGCTCTTGCTCAGCTCCACCAAGACTGCCGGTCAGTACAAATATAGGAAAACCAGGGGTGACCGCGTCTTTCTCGGTCAGTCCAAACAACACAGGATATCCACATTTATGCCATACTATAAATACCCAGTTGGAGGACATAGTAGTTTTTGTTTTTTTGTCTTAAGTGGAAAGCAACAAGTCAACGCAACACTGCTAAACGCAAGCTATAGCACGATTTCAGAAATTCCACTCCCGTCTATCTTCAATACTTAATATACAACGATTAAATACCGAGTGGAAAATACAAGCCAGGCCTGGGACCTATATTTATTTATTTATCTAGCTCCAGTTAGCATCTAGCCTTACCCTTAAAGAGCGGGGCTGGACACCGTAGGGCAAATGTGCGCTATAGTAAACAGCTATCATTAGAGCCTCTTCCGACATCTAGACTTTAATCCATTTAAATTGTATTTAAGCACACTTATGAAATAAGGAAGTGATAACCCCCTCTGGGTGTCAGTCTAGCCGAAATATAGACAGAAATATGCAAAGCGGGGCCAAATTATTCGTATCATCTTAAACATGCTAGTATGAACTGTTAGCAACTAGCATAAACGGTTAGTGACAGGCTAAAGGAGATTAAAGCCAGCTGCTGACTGCTCATTTGTCCTTGGTTGGTTACCCTGGCTGGCACGTCCCCCGGCAGATACCATTCCTCTAGTGCTCAGCTGTTACCACGAATACCGGCTAAACATTTTAATGTTTAGTATTTTTATAAAAAAGTAATGGTTTACCTGATGGCTCGACGCAACTCCGGCGACAAAATGTCAGTCCGCCTTTTCCCGGAATTACTCCGCTGCTCTCTGAGGTTGGATTCTTTCATTCATAAAAAACACAAGCGACAATGACGTCAGGGCTAAAGAATGAGGGCGGAGCCAAGCCCGCCCCCGAGACGTACTCCGGGAGGATGTAAACAAGGAATCCCTGAATCCCAGAACTTTTCCATGACCATCCCCCAGCTACTCTGGAAAGACATAACACCCTGGGAGAGGATTCAGAGTCCGCCTTTCCTAACACTGTCCAGCCCAACGACGCAGAAGATGAAAAATCCAGCAGAATTCAACAATAATAAGAAACTACTTCAGCTAAAACCCAACTTATCAAAAGCTATAACTTATAGTTAGGAGGAATTTCTACGAGCGTCTTTTCCCCGAAACACCGCCCTCTTAGCTACCTAATAATAGTAATAATAAAAGGTCAAATGCGTCTTCTTCTGGGTCCAATTTAAAGATTACTGATCCCTCCGTTTGTAGGGACATTACCGCCCCCTACTGGAAAACATGCGGAGAAGCATAATTGCGTTAAAAAACTTTAACATAAAAAGCAATTTGAAATTGCTTTGATTTCCAAACTTTAAAGAAATACTGTTAGTCATTGGTTGACATAAGAACTTTCTTTGTTTTAGCTCTTTAAAA